CCCCCCCAGCCTCACACTACACTCCCCCATGCACAGGGTGAGCCATGCTGGCTGCTTCCAGGGCTGCGCTTGCCCGGTCTGGTGGGGGGCCCATCCTGGGGGCTGGGGGGGACCCCGCGCACTGCTGCTAGCGAAGTGTGGGCAGGCAGGTGCTGGGCAGATGCGGGTCCTCTCACCACCCTGATGCTTGGGCCCTGTTGGGGCCACCAGGCTGCAGGGACTTCAACCAAGGACCAAATGCTGGCCGCGTCCCAGGCAGGTGCATGTGCATGTCTGTCTGTGTGTGCTGAGGGTGTGTGTGCCGAGGGTGCGTGTGCCATGCACGGTGGGGCCAGGGCCTCGGCCAGCGTCCCAGGGGCCAGAGCTCTGTCCTGCTCCAGCTGAGTGTTGCTTCCAGCCCTGGCCACAGGCAGCACTTGGGCACTTTCTCCTGAGACAAAACAGTTTGTTTTTCTTGCTAATTTAATCCCTGGTAATTTAATGTCTGGATCTGACACCCCCCCCTTTCCTGGTGAAGGTCTGACCCCCTCTTCCCTCCCAACTTCTGTAAGACTCCAGAATAAAGCGGTACGGATCGCTTGTGTGGGCGGGGGGTGGGGCAGGCCCCCCCCCCCCGGGCTGGAGGCTGCCCCTGCCGCAGGCTGCCCTCCCCTGCCACTGCCCTCCCCCGGGCCAGAGCCAGGAGGGTCTGGGGAGGCAGCAGAGCTGCCCTGCGGGGTGGGGCACGCTGCCCAGTGCTCTCCCAGCCTGGCTGCAGGGGCTGTGCCCCCCTGCCTGGGCTGCTGGCACTGAAGCAAGGGGCCAGGGTCGCTCTGTGCCGGGAGCTGGCAGCTGGAGGATTGAGTGGTGATTGGGATCACTTGATCCTACTTGTTCTTGGCCTTGCCTAGATCAGCAACTGTGTGGGAATGTCTCTCAGGGGGCTCGGGGCTCTGCCAGCCCTGCGGTGGGATCGTGGCTGCCTGGGGCCAGCAGGAGACCATGAGACGGGCCCCAAACCGTCCCCAAAAGAGACAGCGATGCCCTGTGCTGTGGCCCGGCATCGGGTTTAGACAAGCAGCTGCTATTGGGAGAGCCTGGCTGTGGGATGCTGGAGCTTGAGGAGGGCACTGGGCCAGGGCAGGGGGGGAAATTGCCTCCGGGGGGGGGGCTGCAGGTGCCCTGGCCCCTGGCTCAGGAGGGCGGGAGAGGGCTCTGGGGGAGACCCCTGCTCATCCTAAGGTCTTCCCTGGGCATCTGCTGCGGTTGGCCGTCGGACTCCTGGGGTGACGGGCCTTCGCTCTGATCCCCCGCAGCCGTTCTCACCCTCCCGAAGCACCAGCAGGGATCGGTACCTGGCTGCCGGGGCAACTCTGCTCCAGCCTGGGATGCGAATAGGGAAGACGCTGGGGAGTCACCCCGGGAGAGGGGGCTCCTTCCTCAGGGACGGACGGGACCGGGGAGCTGTCTGTCACCACAGTCCCACTGGCAGCACCGGGGGCTCGGAGGGTCCCGGGGGCCGCCGCTGGCCGCGGGGCGGGCGCCTGCAGCGGGGCCAGGTTTCCCTTACCCGGGCGCGGCTCCAGCCGGGTGCCGCGGCCCCGAGGAGGGCACCGGGTCGGGTGCCCAGGGCTGGCTCCCCACGTCTGCACCGCGGCCCCGGCGCTCCCCTCCGCCGCCAGCCC